GCTCATTATTATGTCGTCCTCCTCAACGCTCCACTGAGCGATCCAGATAAAAAAACGTGTCTGTAATGGGCTACTTTTCACGGGAAATCTTGATCCATCGTCATTGACACTAGGAGGTCCCGTCGTCCCGTTGGTTTGCGGCTTCAGGAGGCGATATAATCTCCCCGCTTCGGCGCCAGTTGTTTGCGAACATTTTTTCAACTCGCATTTGATTTTGGGAGGAATACAACCACTTTGAGAAAATTTATAGGGTATACAGATCTGTCCGATTTTTGTCAAATTCCGCTAAAACATTTCAGGAATAATGACAAACGAAAGTATGTTGGGAAATTTTGATCTTTGAAATATTTGTCCCGTGGCGTCCATTTGCGCGACACGCCTCGGATATTTTTAGCTCCTCCAACTTCAGATGCCGATATCTAGACAACCAATCAGAATATCGAAAAAGCCCGACACACTTTGGTTAATTGATGGCCTTGTGAAGAAGACTGCAGCCATTTTGCTCGTGCTGCGGCATTCAATACCCGATAAATTCAATAGAAGAAGTCGTTTCATGCCTTACCGGCTCCTGACACTTCCTTAAAAGAAAAGTCGCTTTAATTATATGTTTATCGTAAAGTGCAGTTATTAAGCTTTCTTCTGATGTATGTGCAAGGATTTTATTGAAACTAGCACGCTACAAATTTTTTTCCGAAGGACACCCACGAAGGTGGGAAGTAACCATAAGGTTCTGAATTATATTCAGTTCAAATCACATAGCGCCGTCGTAGTTCTTTGCTTTTCATTTCTTTGTAGTGAGAAATTTTTCTAGAAGCTAAACTTGAATTTCTATTCTTCTAGGCACGTGGCGTTCAATGGATATCTGTACTCTGTTAAGTGATTGCTTTGAATGCAGCCGGTGGTGTATTAGTTTTATGATAATTCTGCTAACAGACGGAAAGACTGAAAAGGTTTCCTCTCTAAATACCATTGTCTACCGGTGGCACACTGAGTAGAAGTGTTAAGGCTTTCTTTACGAGATCATAATTAGATAGGGAACCTCTGTCTTGTGTCAGCCCATACACGCTAGACAATCATCAGATATATTTCCTGGCGAAAAATATGAAAATCGTAGTTGTTCAGGTTTTATTCCCTGTAAATGCACGCTTCACCTAACCGAATCGATTCATCATAAATGGTCATTGAGGAAGCAGGTCCCTGTATTCATTTGGAAAGATTATGAGATGTTTTGTTATAAGCAAGCAGGAGAATGAGATTGTTTTGATTTGAAATTAAACAATCAAACAAACAGATTCGGCAGATTTTTCCAACGAAATGCAATTTATTTGATGTTTTATTGCCCATTAACCTTTCAATCGAACACGTTATTGTCTAATGGAAGAAACTGAACATTCCCTCAATTGGATCACTTTGATCGAGAAAGATGGCATTGCGTGAAGTCGTCATACGCTTTATAGCGGGAGGATTGCTTTAAACAGAATTAACTTCCTTGAAATAATCGTTTGTCGGGAAAACAAATATGAAAGAAAAAAGTATGAAACCCAAAGACGACAAGGATAGTTTAGGATGATAAAGATTGGCGTGGATTGCAAGCTACGAAGTTAAAAAAAAGTAGGCTTAATCTATCATGAAAAAAAACAAAGGGAACAAACTCCTTTGAAGGATTTAGTTTCATGAGCAATGTGCTCGCCTCATGTTTTCAAGTTGCAATACCTTGAATCCACCGCAATCCTTACTAAGCCACAAAATCAAGCTACGAGGTCTCACACTGTGAAACTATAGAACTAGACTATCGGTAACTCATTGCACTTATTAAGTTATTTTAACTACATTTTTTTACAGCATTTTAGTACTCGCTAAGTTTGGAATTTCTTTTCTCCCCTTCTTAAGACGGCACTTGTTTTATTTGAATATCACATTACTCGTGTATGTCAAGCACAAAGGGTTTGAAGCTTCCTGGTACTTTCTCTACAAAGTGGCTCATGTATTTGATGAAGAGTAGAGATACCTATAATGACTATTTTAGCAGTCTGCATTCCTAACACACAACGACGATTGTTTAACCTCCACACATACTTCACTGAAAATCAGTCACTGTATGTACCTCAACAGTAAATATCTGTTTTGAAAACGGTTAATTTTCTTCATCTCTTGTTCCAATGTTGCGCAAAGCTAAGAAATAGAATAAAGAAAAAATTCCAAAACGATTTGGGTGTCATTTTTCTACATCTACCTGTTCGGACCTTATAAATAATTGAGTTAAGTAAATGTCTACCAAAGCTTACTTGAAGATTCTGTTTAATCCTTTATATAATGAAACTTAAATCCTTTGGATAGAGATTCAAATTGAAGGATTGTAATGTTGGCAAACATTCTTACCACCCAGAAGAGAAATAGTAAATAGAGACACGAACATAGAATCATTTCCTATATTCAGTCCGGCAAGCTGATGAAATAAAGAGCATTTGATCACTTCGCGATTTTGGGACAATTTCCTTGCTTAGTGCTTTTTTGACATAATTTGACAAGCACGTGCAAATAAGGCAGCAACGGTTTACCTCTACAAGTACGGCTTTTCAAGATTTTACCGACCAAAGGATTATTGCTTTTAATACAGTTCTTTCGATGTAAATGAAATACTTATTTCGGTGAGTTCTTATTCACGGACGTCTAAGCCGAAAATTTCAGTACCATCCTCCTTGAGCTATTTTGAGGGTCTCAATGGGGTTGACCGTTAGTCATAAAATGGCAGAAAAATTTAGCCGTTAAGCGTACGAATTGACAAATTTTGACCGGTTCGCGTAAGAAAAGTTAATCTTGTAAAATTTTCTTTAAACTAGGACGGAAAGAAATTGAGTAACCGTTAGCCGTCGAGCCATCATCCCATTTAGACTCTCTATTAATACATTCGATAATCTCGACATTACAATTTCCATTCTTTATTTCCCAACCAACAAATGTTATCCTTCTAAAAGTTGTTTTAATGAGGCACGAGTGGAAAACAAAGAAAAATCTGAGTTTCCTTTAAGGATTCCGTCGAACCACAAGTAGTCCAGCCGCTTTATCATTTCTTTATTACTGACTAACGAAAGGCTAACGCTCGAAACGTCAGCTTTAGTAACTTTGTACGATGTCTTAGCAGTATGTTATCTTGTTACACATGGACATGGTATATTTCTAAGCTCACCATGGAGTTCCCTGCAGCTCACGGGTACAGAGCAACGGATTACGAAATCCAATTGCTCTCGTTTGAATCCTCGTACATGAGAGACTAAGATTCTTCCTGTGTCCCGAGTTCATTCCTTTAGAGTCTTAATTTCCTTTAATCTCATTGTTTGAGAACGAAAGTGTAATTCAATTTTCTGCTATTCAGTATTAGCCGTTTCTTTTTAATATCTGTGGGTGTGCACGATATGGCGTTGTTGCCTCACGCAGGTGTTGTTCAAAGAGGACTCTAAGCTTGCGACGTCGATAACTAAAAGGAATAATGGCACTGGTTACGGTGGCACACCGCTAACTTATGCTGCCAAGGAAAATGAAGAACAGTTCGAGCTTTTAAAGGAAGGTCAATGTATTTACAAGTGAAAAGAGGAAGCAAAACCGGGCGTCGGAGGGAGAGTGTAAATGCATCTTCAACAATTTCACTGGAATGTCTTTCTTCAACCCAGTTCCGATTTATCAAACATTTTGTCTTTCTCTGCTCATGATGCCCATGGTGTTTGGTGCAGTTCATGTTCGGAGGTACTCCACCCTCACTTTCTCTTTAGAAGATTGATGGTGTGGTGAGTGCCTACTTTCAACATAAAGAGTTCTTCTGATAGGAGAAAGTAAAGTGACAATTTCTTGTGTTGACCATGCAGGATCTAAAAATACGCGCCAACTTAGTGTTAAGACCAGTGTTTCTTATCCACATAGAACAATTGGCGCTCGTGGCTGTGTGTTGGGAGCTGTATCAGATTTACAAATACTAAAAAGTTCCATGAAAAGAAAAGAAAACAAAATAAAACAGAAAACAACGACTAAGCTGGGTAATCGATCCTCTCTCGATGTAATCAGGCCGCGTTTACGATGTGTCAATTGGTATTGCTCAGAGAGTTGTTATGAAATTTTTTAGAACTACGTAAGCAATAAAAATAGGAACACCACTCAAAATTTGGGCAAATTTGCTCTCTCAAGGCAGAAACAGACGAGACAGATGGTCTATGCGAGGTGGTTCTTCGAACAATTGTTCTGGACTATTCACTACGTGGCAAACACTTTCCAAAGTACAAGCTGTTTCCAAAAAACTGGATCCAGCGTTAAGACCAGCAGATAATAACAGAGAAAACAAGCACGTTGTGTATTGTTTCAACTATCCAACACAAAGTAATGTGACTGGAAAATCTGTTCTTTTGTTTATTACTAGTAAATCGTCTTAATAGAAAAACTCATGGTATAGAGGCGATAGAAGCGACCGTGATTTAAGTGATTTACCATCCTTTGTTCCCAACCAATGTTATCCTTCAAAAATTTTTTTTAATGAGGTACGAGTGAGGACCAAAGGAAAAATCATATGAGTTACCCGTTGGGATTCCGGCGACCTGCAACTAGTCCAGCCGCCTTAACATTTCTTTATTACCGACTGACGAAGGGCTAACGCTCGAAACGTCAGCTTTAGTAACTCTGTACAATGGTCAATTCACATTATCAACTCAGTTGATAAAAGCAGTCTCATAATACCCTCCACCAACGAAACACCACAGTTTCTTTAGAAACTTACCCCCTTTCTCATTATCTGCAGTTTTGGCGTTAAGAAATACGCTTTTTTCATTCTTCGTTTGGTTTTATTTGTTTTCGCTCAGTCGGTATGTAGTAATAATTACAGAGGAGATTAACTCCATTGTTACTGGAGCATATTTATCTTTTCCTTTGCGAAATTCTGACAACGGTCGGTATCGTCAGTCTAGAGGAAGGATGAGTGCCCCCCTACTCGGGTGAGATTCAGAAGCAGCCGCGTGTGGTAACATCGCTAACAAAGTTTATCATTACCAAACTGTTGCCCGTCATTGCGATTGTAACAAATATATTAAACGTCCTTATCCAGTTTACCTTTAGGAATCAAGATGTTCTAACTTAAGGGTTTGTCAGGTTTAGTAAAGGAAAACGCGATTCTTGTGTAACTGTTATGTTATATAACGTTAAGTTTTTACCGGTTGAAAACTTATAATTATTTGTTTTGCAAGGAATGTAAAAAGTCGTTTAATAATTTAACAATTAATGTCTTTTTCATAGAAGACGTCCGGTTGTTGGAGATAATTTCATAGAGTTGATTTTTAAAATTTTTTTTCTCAGTTCTTTGTTGATATTTTATACTCTTGTTTACTCTTATGCCTCAGCCTTTTTAAAAATAATTTTAAGCAGTTTAACATGCTTTACAAATTTGTTTCCAAATTGAGAAAAATATCTTAAATTCCACTGTAAATTATTGAAGATCTTGACAGCTTTGAGTGGTTTTCTGCCACGAGATGGGAGATTTAGTTGCTGGAAAAAATTTCCTGGGACAAAAACTTCAATTGTGAGGTTTGATAAAAATTATGAAGAGAAAATTCTGGTTTTCCCAGACACTCATTACAACATGTCCTTTGCAGGAGACAGAACTGAAGCATATCTTAAGAATCCCAAGTAATCACTAATTTACACGATTTTTTTTCAAAAAGTGGATATTTTTTACTTTGAAAGAAGGAGCGATTCTTGTAAGGCTGTCATTCGTTCTGAGGAAGAGTTAACGGAAGGCTAACGCTCGAAACTTCAGCTCTAGAAACTTTTTACAGCGGCCAAATTGTCTTCAGTAATACCCCCCACAAGGTGTTGCTGTAGCACTTTACAAAGACAATAAGTAGAAACACGTCCCTTAGTAACATATGGAAAATGACCCGCACGAGGCCACTGTTATAAACAACTTATCATACTCTCATCTTGAAACTAGAAGGCTGAGGGATCCTTTTCTGTTGCTTCTTTGCCCTCCGGTGAAACCATATTCATTGTTGTCGCATGCCAGTTCTGGGAAACATTTGTGTAGCAACAGTAACTCCGTTCCTTTAATGTTAACTTTATCGGCCAAAGTACAAACCTTCCAGGTTGGTTTTGTTGTGTTGTGTTCTGGCAGGAGACAAAGAAAGATCCGAAGTGAGAGCTACAAATGATTGCCTGTGGATAACCAATACAAAGACGGAAATTACTTTGGTTATTAACCAACGTGACCGGAATGCGAAAACAGGAAACCCATAACACCTTGAGTCTAAATTCACTAGTATTAAAGACGCTAGGTAATAATTATACCACCTGAAAAAGAAGCACACTTAAAACCTGGAAGGAAAATTATATTCCTTGAAAAACATCTGATAATAGCAACGTGCGTGGGGCTATTGTTTTCTTTATTCTGTCCTAATTGTTGAATGCAGTACTGCCTGTCCCGTAAAAAGTTTTGTAAATTAAACTGCACAAAAAACATGCATTCGTGCTTCACGGTGATATTCAAGAATTGATATTGCGTTTAATTTACTGGATAAAAACAATGCGTTGAAGAATATTTGTTTATATAATAAATAGACAACTCAACGAGAATTATAAAGTAATTTGTTTACCGCAGCCATCTGTTTAGATCATGAAGCTCGGTGAGTAAGGTTATCTTCGCATCGTTTCACCAGTAATTCTGATGACCGTAGAGAGTATCGAAGAGAAAATGCATTTGTGACCAAGTTGTTAAGTTTGATTAGAGATAATACTGTTTGGTAAACAACCAATGATTCTCTTGCAAACTAATATGAAATATTTATCACAAGTTTCTGGAACTTTACCCTGGCACGCGTCTGTGGTCAGTTAGTACTGGTGGTAGAAATACTCACCTTCATTAAAAAAATTTAAAGTCTAGTATTGCTATCAGTTTGAATTAAATCAAGTAACTCTCCGTTGAGGCTCTTGTATGTGCTTTTCTGCTAAAACAAGTTTTTTTCCCCGTGACTCGTTTTGGAAACACGTGCTCAGGAAGAAACAATCTACACATCGCATCTAGAGGTGTGTTGATTGTCCAGAGCGAATTCAATTGAAACAATAAGCTACTCCGGTGGCCGTTTCAATTTATAAAAATCTCTTGGGGGGACTGCACCAATACCGGCCGATTAAGTGTTAAAGAGGCATTTTTTTTGCCCTGCGGCCGTTAAACAGTTAACTGATTCTAAAGAAACCAATACCCCCTATTATTAACACGAAGGCACGTGGCTTTTTAGAGAACAATTTAAAGTGAAATCAACGTCAAAAAGAGAGAGAAGTATCCTGTTTTAAAGGCACGTAGTTTCTGCAATGAAGCTGATATAGCATAGTAGAACACTTCAGTCATATGCATCCATGTAGTTCATTCTTGCCCAAGAAGAATCGAAAACTGTTTGTGTTGAAGAGCCTGTCGACTTTATGGATGAATGGTGCCTTTCATAAGCGACATAAATTAATTATATCAGATATGTGACTGTGTGTTCCATGAAGTAAAATGATAAGTGATTAAATAGTAAGCATGATAAGTAAACAGGCTGCGTTGTTTTATGGAACAAATATTTGAAGTTTGTCCAACGGAATGCAAGGAGCAATCGAGAACTTTTTTTGCGAACAATGCTCTATTTTACCCTTTTCACCTTTGGCGACTTTACCACCTTTGTCCTATACCGGTGAATTCCACGCCAAAACCTCCAATTAAAACTCTAGAAGTAATGCATTAAACATTTATTAAGGTTTATGTCACACTTAACTCCTCTCCGAAATCAGGGTGTGTTATTCTTAGCGGTCGTGCACTGAGAGAACTAGTTATTAAACCTAGAAAAGCCAATAACTATGTCCTGGTCGCAACTCCATGAGGTTTATTGGTACGATAACCCAGAAAAGACGATCGATTGTGCCGTCTGCAACGCACCTTCGTCTGGTCGCCACTATGGCGTATTCACATGTGAAGGGTGCAAGTGTTTCTTCAACCGAACCGTTCGTTATAAGCTGTCTTACACTTGTGAGTCTTCTGGAAATTGCCGCATCGACCGCCAAAACCGAACGCAGTGTCAACATTGTAGATTCGAGAAATGTGTTCAAGTTGGAATGAGGCGAGATGGTAAGTTTCGTTTTATTCTTGCTAGTTTAAAACACCTCGTATCCACTATCGAAAACGACTACAAATTTTCTCATTTTTGTGACATAAGCTCGGCCAATAGTTACTGAGCCGTTTTGAAATCATGTATTCTTTCCCCCGGCTATATCTCCAAACGCTGTTCACAGTAAGTTTAGTTAGCAACAGGGATGTTGAATTATCAGAACCCTTGTATGCACGGCATAAAATTTTATGTACCTACATTTCAAAAAGCTATCACATTATCACTTAAATCCTAGCAGAACATAACCCATTTTATATGTATACATTGCGATACTGTCTAGTCGTCTGGCATCTTTCACCGCTTTATCCATGATAATAGCGACCAAGCTTCCCCAGACAATTCATGGATAACTACATGTAAGAGAATGTTCTATTTACTTAAACTATATGTTGTCTTAAAAGACGACAAAGTTTTCATGACTCTTCATGAATCTTCAAGAAAGGGAGATTATTTATCTCCCAACTCCCCAACCAACCCGTTAAAATTAGAAAGCAATAGCGACCTAACTCTAAGTTTACAAAGAGTAGCGAGTTCAATTCAGTTTCAAAGATCTTTTTCCATTTCTTTTCCTGTCAGTGTTTGATCTTCAAAAAGACAGAATGCTGAATTTCGAATCAGTGACAATGGAAAAAATTATTTGGTTTTAAAACGTTTTGGAATTTCTGTTAGTCTCTTTTTTCCATTTTTATACCAGCAGTTAAGTATAGGGAGAGGAACTATGTCTTTCCTTTTTTTCTCCTGGCGAATAATCTGTTGCGTAGGATGATTTTCACAAATACACACGTTTTCGTTTGTTCCATAAGGGTACCCATACCGCAGCATGTCCAGTTACCTCTACTTGAATGCTTGATTCTGTTTTGTGACGTTTGAAAACAAAATCCTATCTTCAGTGAATTTTAAACCAGCAATTTTCCCACATATTCTTATACTCCTTCATGCGCATTAGCAGAGCAAAGCTATTAGCCAAGAGGACTTTGACGAAATTTACAAAGACCAGCTAGATTATTAAGGTTAATTATGTCGTTCTAATTGTGCGCTTAGTAAGTATGTTCGTAAAGAAATGCAGATTGGATGTAAAATCTTTAAAAAGATAATTTTAAGAATGTCTTCTCTGAAATATCCAGTTTTATTCAATCGCATCTCTGCCATTGAAATGGTTATCGCTTTAAGAATTCATGAATCTGTTAACTTCAGGTTTTAGCATTAATATTTAAGGAGTTCATGATATTATCTCTATTCAAAAGAGGTATTTATTTTTAACAGTCTTGGCAAAAAGATACATGTCTTTCCTATCAAATCTTGTTCAATTTCATATTCTTCTTTGAAGACAAACGCAAATGTATTTAAAAACAAATATTTTCCTTCAATATCCAGTGCAATTCCTGAGAAGAAACGATAATTAGTATTTGGTATTTATCGTTTAAAACACAAGAATGAACAATCCTGTTTATAGCATGTCGAAAAAGAACTTAGGCTAGTAATTTGGTTAAAAAAAATTAGTAAACTGCTTTTTCAATTCCTGCAAAATTAATTCTTTGGTTTTTGTTTTTATCTCAGCCATCAGAAGAGGACGGCCCACAAAGTATTCCTACCTGTCAAGATCATCAAAATCATTTACCTCTCAGTATGACCTTATAACGCTCCTTACCCAGTTAGAAAGAGGCAGCAGAGCCTCCATAACTGCTGCTCCCAGTTCCCCAACCTTGGAATCCACTCCATGCCATAAAATATGGACCTTATTTTCTGCTGCCTTGAAGTGGACCAAGCACGTGCCTATGTTTTCAAACCTGGATATCTGTGAACAGTACGCCATGCTGAGATGTTGCTGGGGTGATCTATTTATTTTAGTCGCTGCACAATATGATCTGCAAATCGATTCTGTCGCGCTCTCCTACGAGATTGAGACATGCGCGGGAATGTGCAACGAGAGGAAGCTTCGACTGAAGCAGACGCTAGCCAGTTTTCACGAGTGCTTGTTACGCTTGCGTGGTTTAGAGGAGGCCGAATACGCATGCCTGAAAGTAATGGTGTTGTTTTCTTCAGGTTGGTATTGAAAAGGATGCGACTTTAACCCTTTAAGACCCAAATTACTTAAAACCACGTTTCTTCCCTTTCAACTTCGATGACATTTCGCCTCCCTTATGACAATATGCCACTTACCATTTTTTGGAGAGCATTTCTATTCAATTGGTGCTATTCAATCAGTCGGCGCCTTCCATCAGATCGAAATAAATAGCAATAAAGTTATTTGAAAAAATCTGAATAAAAACCACTGAATATCCACCCATCAGATAAATCACTTGTTAATTACAAACACAACTTAAGACACTAGTTATATTCAGAATTATAGTTTTCCTTTTGGTGATCATTAGCACAGCACACTCACTTTATTCTTTGTTTCGTTTCCAGATAGTGCAGAGGCTCGTTGTCTGCCCGACGCAGAAACAAGCCAAGAAGTTGTTCTGTCTGCCATGGAGCGTTATTGTAAGAATCGTTTTCCCAATGAGGCGTTCAGATTTGGAAAAATTCTCCTCAAGTTGATGGGACTTCGAGCAGTGAATGCTAATGACCTGGAATTTTTGTTCTTTTCAAAAATTCTGCATCATACATCCATTGCCGGTGTGATTAGAAACCAACTTGTCAGCGGCTTATCTCATTCTCCTGTGTCGCCCTACAAGGAGGCAGGCATGAAAAGTCATCAGTAAACATACAAACACAAAAACAATTTGGTTTTATCTAGTGGGTTGATAAACCAAACCAAACATTACCCGAACAAACTTGTAAAATAACTGAAGTTGTTAGCTGGGACAACTTCAGTTGTAACAAAGAATCTTAAGTCATCTGATCATGCATATAGTCCATCAATTTAGCTGTAAATAATCATTTCATAATCATTGTAAAACGTCAAAATTTATTTAAAATCTCATCACTGACCTCTAAACCATTCACCAAACGCAGCAGATAGCTTTCGTTGAAATAATTGCACTCAAGATTTCTATTCACAGAGTTATCTTTTGGAGCGTAAAAAACACAACTTCATGGAAATACTAGCTAATAACTTTGTTAAAACCTCTCAACCCCTTAAAGTGACTGGTATCTAATTTCTTTTTATATTATCACCCTTGAATCAAATGTATAGATCAGAAAAATAAAGGAAAAAATCACCAATCTAAGACGCTCCTGATTGCCAAACAAATTCTCCTTGTCAGTACCAAAAGTACCATGGGAAATCTAAAAAGAACAGTAAAGGGAATATAATTACCAATGTTAAGTTGAAAAGGGTTACATTATATTGCCGAAGGCAGGCTTATTTTGAAGCACATGGAGAGAGGTAAGTCAAAAGCCATTCTCACTCCCTGAGTGAGGGATGAAACCGTTTAATTGTGAAAGTCTGACGTCCTTGTAGGGTGATGAATTAAAGATTAGATAAGGTAGCGTTTCCTCGTACCAATATAATTATTTAAACTTTCCCTGCTTTAAAATTACATCGCAGCAAAGAAGGGTTTTTAATTGTAAATAACTCAAAAGTTTCCCTAGTTTATTAG